TGGGGAAGAATGAAAGAGCGCGTGCATGTGTGCGAGAGAGCGAGAAGAGAACCCGACAGGGAGAGAAGGAGGAAAGGGACAAAGGAATCGCGTGGACACACGTAACCTACATACAGATAACAGTCGAAAAAAAATAGAAACGAAGGGGGGAGAAGAGGAGGAGACAAGAGAAAGAAACCGGACGAAAGGAACGGGTTATTGATAATGATAAAACGTTATTATTATATTGCTACTAATTACTATTACCAGTACTATTACCATTATCGACATTACCGAGTAAATGAAGATCACCGAATATAGGTCTACCGGAAAGTTCCGCCCGATAATGTCGTCTGAAGCTTCTAAAGATGAGTGGCGCAGAAACGGAATCTACAAATCACCGGCGAGGGGTCATTAGCGACGGGAACGTTATTGTTCGGTGAACTTCAATGGATGTACTAAGAATGTATTACGCGCTTTTCATTGGAAAACGGACAGCACTTCCCGGTGGACCGATACATACGCAGAGTAGAGTGTAAACGAATCGAGGATCGATTAACCCCTCGCACTCGGCGATGGTTTTCATTACAAATGTTCGTTAGTTTCCAATGGAACGTCGACGATATTTTTTATAATCGACGCGGAGGAATGTTTCGCGCGAGTTAAGGGGCGGGAGCGTTTCGTTCGTGCACGGAATTTATTGAATTCAGACACCTGTGAGTTTTGATGCGTTGAGAGCGACGAGTGCGAAGGGTTAATTATTATTACGTCGTTATTGTAACCGCTTGAAAAGTAGCCTTATAACTTGTAAAACTAAAGCGAGAAGAGAAATTGTCTCGGGCGTTTGGTGGGGGGGACCGCGTGCTATTGGTTGGCGTGAGGAGACCACGTGACCGACACGTTACAGCTAGTTTGCTTTCACCTCGAACGCGTTCACCGTTCGCGCCACCCGGTATACGCGGAGGATGAATCCGAAGATCTCGTATCCGTGGAATTCGAAGCTTGAACGTTCGTCGAGGAACCATGAAGTCGCTGTTTCCGGCTCGGAACAAAATGTCCGGCAGGCTTTCCTCGTGGAATTACTAGACTCCCGCTCGCGGAGGGAAAATTTTGAATCTTGAACTTCGTTTCGCGTGATTCGACGCCGGAGAATTTTACGGCTACTCGGTTCGGAGTTGGGCGATTTTCACTTCGAACTGGCCATTGGGAAATTCACGCTCTTCGGGCTTGCTGACCTCTTGAGTGTTAGTTTTCGTGGATTGTTTGCTAGGACTGCATACGATTTCGTTGAAAGTTTCTTGATAATTGGTGCCGTGTAGTGTAAAGGCTTGGTATGAATTGTAGTCTTCGAAAAGGTTTTCGGATATTTCTAACGATCGTGTCGATGGTTGTTTTACTGTCCTCTTAATATGACTAGCTGTTTCCATTGATTTTCCGCGGGTTAGAGTCGATTTCACTTGCGTTCGGATGTTCAGAGGATATTCGAATGTTTACAGTAACTTTCAATGTTTCTAGCATACGATCTTTATGTAAATAGACAATTATGAAGTGACTATTACCATGATTTCGAGGAGATGAAGGATACTCGAACCTTTACGAAAAGAGAACCCGAAACGAGAATGAATATTAAAGAAACTGTAATTGAATAAAACATTTCTTCTTCCACCACAGAATCTATCCAATAAACAAAATAACCCGAATACCATGGGAATCGAACCAAAACTTTAATTTTATTCTTCCATAATTTACGCTACGACAAATTCACGACAACGGTGAACACGTTCAAAACGTTCCCTCGATCGGCGTACGAATCGTTTCCTTTCACCGCAGCCACCAGGGTTAGTCAATTATCGCAGCCGTTAATTACGAGTCAATTATCGCGATCTCAGGCGGTTTCCTCGCGCCGATCGCGGGACGATCGCGCGTCCCGCGACCGTCGCGCACCGTTGTCCGCCGCATTCCACGTGCACCATCTGAATGTCCCCTATTTTTCCTTCTTTTTCAGCGAGGAAGGAAGCAGCGACCACAACAGATTGTTCATCCGCGACACGTTTTACTTTCGGTTTTCGCACGCGATCGAAGCATATCTCGGGACGAAACGAGTGCGCCATTTTCTTCTCAGGCTAACCAGCGTTCGGTCGATCGGTCGATCGGCCGATCGATCGATCGCCCGTCAGGGGGATAAAAGAATTCCTAAACAACTGAGAGATCGAGAGAAACACACACAGAAATTAAAAAGAAAACAGTAGATCGAGGGAAGATCCAAAGTAAAAGAGACCGAAGCGAGAGAAAGAAGGAGAAGAAGAAGGGAAAGAGGAATACGAGATAGAGCGCGGATAACAAAGAAAAACCGAGGAAAAAACGATTCATCCTAGCCGATAAGCGCGTGCAGCGATCACAAGTAGGGAATAAATCTACCTGTTTCACTGAACGAAGGTAGCAGACAGAGATTCTAGCGATTATATACCTGTTCTTCGAGTATTAGCGCGCGAGAGGGGGAGAGAGATGATTTATCTAAAGTTAGCTCGAGTCTAGCGGTTAAATGTTAAGACAACCTACAATCCGTTTCCCGTCACGGGCGTCAGCCGATCGAACGTCGTCGTTTCAGTGACGAAGGAACGATTCGGGGCGGACGGGTATCAGCACCGAGGAAGATCAAGACGAAGTTGATGACGATCGCGGGGAAAATATTCCGGGACGCGTCTGATGGCGGCTGTTCGTCATCGTCGCGTCACGGAGCTGTTGCCTGAAAATTGAATGGATCAGGGCATCGGGGAATTTGCTAATGATTATTAGGTCGAAGATGCGTTGAAGAATGTGGAGAACGAATTTGTGGGCGACGTTTCATGTGACGTAAGGTTACGGTATTTCACGTGATTTTTAATGTTGAAATTTGATTTCCTGCGACGTGACGTACGATGACGTTGACACTAGGAATTTCGTCATGACATTTTTTGTGTGAATTTTATATGGCGCTGTTCATTTTGAATGATTCGTTGTAGCAATTTGGATACTTAATATGATTGAATTTAGAATCTCCTGTGACAATGTTGGTTGAAATTTTGTTGTTAGTCTTTCTGAAATAACGTCATATGACGTATAACGTTGATAGTCCACAATGTGACGTCGAAATTGCATCATGCGACGACACATTTGAAACCGTGATCAGTGGATTTCAGAGATCGACCAGCAATAAATCGTTGAAATCTTCGTTAAAGTAAGGGATGATTATGGATTAAATTGGATACCGTGAATTCCGGTAATTCTATCGTGAATAACAATCGCGATCGAAAGCGTCACGCGGGCTATGATCGTCGAGAATCACCATCGACAAGCTTCGCTTACATTTTATCCATGTATTTTTATAACGCAAAGTGCAACATAGGGACGCGTCGATTTGAATTCTGCAATCCTATTCGCCGGGGTTCGTCGACGGTTCCGGCTCGACGCTTCGAACGCTGGAATTATTATCTCTGCCCTCGATTATCCGGAAAAATCAGGCGAAATAAACTCAAAACTGAAGGAGGATGCTAAATTAAAGACTCTTAAATGAAATGGAAGCTTCTAAACAACTCTTAACCCCTTGACGTACACGTCTTCGCGGTACATACGCTATGGAGAAATTTCGAGTGAAATATATTAGATTTGTTTCTATTATTAGCAAAATATAGTTAATTCAATTTTTGGTTACGAAAGCTTCTCACTTATGTAAAGAGAGTGAAAGTAACTTTGAATTTGACACGTTCTATGCCATGCCACCGGTGATCCCCAACCAAATCGAATCACTGTAATTCACTCAAACGACGATTATTTAGATATATTTCTATATTATAAATAATGCTACCTAATGCGGTGATGTTCAGCTAGATGAACGTGCGATAATAATAACGCAACTCGATCAAATGACTTAATATTATATTTCTTCCATTTTGTGTATTTTGCTCTATGAAACCGTGCGGCGTTCAACGTGTTAAATAAGTTAGCAAGCTTCTGTTAGGGGATGATATTAGTTACCGTTAAGGGGTTAAATGAAAAAAGAGATCCCGGGGTAGGAACTTGAAGAAACTCTGCCTCGAAACGTTCCGCGTCGAAATCACGTGAAAAGCGAAACAAGAGAGATAGAAGGTAAAGCTCTTTCTTCTAAAACCCAAGAAAAGAACACGGATAAGAGAGAAACGGGTCGAGAAGCTGTTAAAGGATCATCGAAGTTGACCTACCGACAAGACGCGCACGCGCGAGAACGTTTTCTTTTCTCTCCGTTTTATTTCCCACTTTATGACGGTACGCTTCGGACTTGCCGCGGACATCCCGCGCGAAGGATGGTCGGGTTCTGGGCGATTTCTCATTTAGCACGTAAGGTTTTAAAGTTGGGGGATCACTTGATGGCTAGGTTGAGGTATGCGGGCTTGATTGGTCTGTTTTCATCCGTTCTGATTTCATTTTTGATGCTTATTTTATATTCGTTGATACGGTTACAGGGAATCAGTGTTATAAACTGCTTGAGTTCTGCGAGCTTCGAGACTGGACTTAATCTGAAACTTAAACTTTGAGTCTTGAAAGCTTAAAGTATTATCAAGCTCAAGTCCTTGAAACCTTGAAGCTTCAAAGTTCTATAAGTTTGAGTATTGGAAGTATTAAGGTTCAACTTTGAAAGCTAAGTCTTGAAAGCTGTAAGTTCTATCAAGCTCAAATCTTTGAAACTTTGGAGCTTCAAAGTTCTATCAAGCTCAAGTCCTTGAAACCTTGAAGCTTCAAAGTTCTATAAGTTTGAGTATTCGAAGTATTAAGGTTCAACTTTGAAAGCTAAGTCTTGAAAGCTTAAAATTCTGTAGAGCTCAAGTCTTTGAAACTCTGGAGCTTCAAAGTTCTATCAAGTTCAAGTCTTAAAGTTTCAAAGACTCAACTTTGAAAGCTAAATCTTCAAAACTTAGAATTCTATGAAGCTCAAGTGCTCGAAACTTCAAAGCTTCAAAGTTTTACGAAGCTCGAGTCTTCAAAGTTTCAAAGACTCAACTTTAAAAGCTGAGACTTCGCAGCTTCTGAAGGCCTTAACCTTGAAGCTTTGAAGGCTTGATCTTAGGAATCTTCAATGCTTAGATCTTTATTTTCGAAGAATCCTGCCATCTACAGCTGTATCAACACTGCACAGCAATAAACAATACAAGTCTTCGAGCATAAAGTCTGCTACACAGAGGAAAACCTAAACGTAACATTAAAGACTTCAGCTTTTACAGCTCAAAGTTGAACCTTAAGATTCCCAGCTTCCAAGACTCGAACTTCAGGGCTCATTTCCACAACACTAACCAATTCAAACAATAAACGAAACACTCAACGAAAGACCCATCTTGCCCCTGTACCATCCCACTTAGGCATCGAGTCATCCCCCAACAGTACTAAACATTAGATCACCCTATAAGTAACATCCTTTTCTTCACACTTCTGTAAAAAATTACTTACATTTTTTCCTAATCGTCAAGATACTAACCATCGTTGTGTACGCGCTTCTCCCATTTTTCAATTAATGTTTCAATACCATTCCCAAAATGGCTTCAGTATCCCACGAAAATACAAAAGAAAAACGACGTTACTTATGGAATGATCTGATAACAAAAATGGGGTCACGAGTCTCCCAATCAAGCCTCCGCCGAGCGCACTAAACGAAGAAAAAAGTTACGGAACCACGAGGCGGACTCCGCTCCCGTGGCGAGGAAAAAAAAGAAACAGAAATAATGCCGTCGCGACGACGACGACGCGGCGTTCCCCGCGGGATTCTAGGAAGAGACTAGCCAGCGTAAACATTTTACATTCGCTTCGTGCACTATTTCAAAATAGGTACTCGAGAAAAAGGTTCAAAGTCTAAAAAAAGATAGAAAAAAAAGAGAGAAGAGAAGAGAAGGGAGGAGAGAAATCATGAGATAACGAAATGAATAATGCCTTTCTTTTTCTTCCCGCAAACAAGAAATAACAAAACCGATCATCGGTGAACCGATCGTTGATTGAGCGAACGATTGCGAGAGAGAAAGGGGGGAGAGAAAGGGAGAATGATCGGGCTTTCTAGTAGAGACAGACAAAAGTGCTTCCGTTCACCTCCTGCGCGTGCCTGCAGCTTCGCTTGCGAGTGACCGAGCGTTCAAATCGGACGAGGCCGATTCTTCATAGGATATTTCGCTGTTATCGTTGCGCGGATTGTTTGTTCATTGAATGTTGTTGTGTACCTTAGTGGCCCAGGGGATATTTGAATAAAATGTCGCGGAATGTAACGCTGTGAATTTCATTTCATCGCTTTGTAATTGGCTGCGAATTGTGATTAAACGAAACTTTGAAATGTTGTATTATTTTTGACAAGATAATCATGCTGTGTAACTATTACTGTTGGCTATTATTAAATATTGCTGTATTATTGTTGTTGTTATTATTATGGAATAATAGATACCAATTTGTTTGAGCAATTATATTTTAACGAAGTATAGAATGATGTAATTGTGAATATATTTCAGTTCCTTGTAATTGATCCGATTAATAGAAGTTCTATTGTAATTCAATTTTTCTGTTATACGAAAGAAGCCAAGTGCAACTGACTGCGAAGAATATTTTCTGGGCCGTTTTCATATTGTCAACATACACATCGACGACGATTAAAGCTCATTCCGTTCGCAGTAGCTGAAACCAATAACTACCGAGGTAAATCGTTGTGACATTGAACACATCCTTGTTCGGACACTTCGATGCCGAAGGGAACGCATGGGAATACAAGGAACAAACATAAAACGTTGATTTATCGTAAAACGGATCCATAGGGATATTTTTCACTTAAGGAACACTTTTAAACGACTCCTGTACTCGAGTTCGAAAGCAAGTTTACCCTGTACTCTTCTAATGGAATAACGATCCTCTTTACAAACTAAGATCCCGACGAACGGGACGTCTAAATGTAAACGAAAAAAAAAAGAATTATATTACTAATGAAGGGAAAAGAAGGAGCAAAAAACATAATGTACTCGGCCTCGTCGCTGATCGAGAAATATTTTACTAGTCAGCTCTCCTATTCTTCGTAAACTCGTTATCCTTCACGTTCGTTAAACAGAGAGTGCGTGAACGAGTGTCTGGATGTGCGAGAGAAAGAGAGAAAGAGAGAGAGAGAGAGAGAGAGAGAGAAAGAAGAAAAGCGAGAATGAGAGAGAAAGAAAGCGAATGGTCATGATAGAAAGAGACAAGATTGCACTTCGGTTTGAATGCCAGCGAATGAATGGGCGGGGTGAATGACGTTGACCGAAAAAATTTCAAACGAGAGCCGGCGAGGAGTGAAGGAGGGAAAAAAATGAGGAGCACGCACGAAAGCGCGAACTGGAATTTCGACGGCGTCGGAGCGGCGAGACGTCGACGGTTCAAACGTTTCGATCCTTTTTTGCGAGTTTCCCCTTAACGATCGACGATATTTCATTTCGTCTGTCCGTTCGATGTTCTGTTTCAGTTTGAATTTTCGTGTTCACCCTTTCCGATAGTCTTCGGCGCATGTGAAATTCAAGGATTAAGCGAAGAATCATGATTGCACTCCCAGGTGGATGCAAAGTTTGCAATCTCTCCCGGTATAGTCTCTCAAGTGTCCACGAAGCTTAAGCTTTCGCGTTCTAATTAGATGCTACACGAGTGAAGTTCGATATTTTCGTACATTTTGTTTCTTACATCGTAGATGTAACGTTTTGTCGGTTAAAAGTCAGAATGATAAGGAAATGAGAGAATGTTTGGTTTTTTTAAATAAATAATTATGAAGTTATATATTTGGAATTTAGTATTCGTTATTTAGTTAATATATGGGAGAATGTGTGAAAGAGAAATTCTACTGATTTAATTGGAAGATGCTTCTGTTGGTATGCTGCGAATATGAGAAACATAAACGAGAGAGGACATTTGGTCTTATGCTGCATGCCCACTTGGGAGCTACTAACGAGAGAGTTTTATTTCGGAAAGAAGACACTTAAATGTCTCGGGATTTTTAGTAAGTTTATTATTTTAAGGTACTTATGGTTTATGTGCTGCGAAATTGCCAGTCGTGCGAATGTTAAATACGACTTCGAATAGTAAAGAATGATTAAAAGTGTATCTGTACGACTGCGTGTTAGCGAGAATGGAAACTACGTTTGAACAAAAACGAGAGAAAGGGAGTGAAAGGGAGAGAGAGAGAGAGAGAGATGTTATATATAAATAATATTATACATAAATTGTATCGTCTTACGCCAGAATCGCACGAAACAAAATCAAGCAAACAAGGAAAAGAAGTGGAAACACGCATTAATTCTAGGATTAACGATTAATTGACGATTACTTAAACCGAGAGGACCGAGCGAAAACAAAAAATATATATATATATTATATATACATACATACTATACTATATTATATTAAATTATATTATAATATATTATATTATACTATATTATATTGTTTAGTCACGTAAGCAGAATCATATATGTATGACGAGTTGTACATTTATATTAGACACACACAGACGCAATAATAAAGACCGTAATACGAACTCTTGATACGGAGTTGGAAAATATCGAAAAGAAATATAGTCGAATGTTATGGAAACTTGTGTGGCTATCACGAAATGCGACAAATGATTTTACATATATCACTTAGTTTATAAGCATCAAATCTACGAACCGAGAGGAACATTAATTTCCAGCTTTCGTCTCGTCCTCCGTGTCAATTTTAGTTCGATTTTCGTTTCCCTGAATCTACGCATAAAAATACTGTTAATAAATCATTCGGAGTGACTGGAATATTTTAATATTCGAATTAAAAATTTTTTATGTTAGTTCCATAAAATTAGCTTAAAAGAAATATTCTCGCGAAATAAGAACAATTCGTTATCATGTGCAACTGAAATATAATTACAATAATTCGCGATCGGACTATATAAAATTTAATTACAAATAATTCACGATTCAACTCAGAAACTATAAAAAAATTCAAATACAAGTAGATTAATAAAACGTAATTACAAATAATTCACAATTGAACTTAAAAAAAAACATTAATACAATTAAACTAATAAAACATTATCACAAATAATTCACGATTGAACTCACCTAAAATATTTTAATACAATTACATTAGTAAAACGTAATAACAATAATTCACAATTAAACTCAAATATCTACGCATTGAAAATCATTACAATTCCATAACTCGTTAATTCAAATTTTTTCCCCACGGAAATATTATTTTCTCTCGGGCAGCGGCGGTCGGTTCCCGACGCGCCATTTAAATTCCAATTACCCGGCCATCATTCGATTCCACTGTCGCACGCGTGTCTGGATCACGGCGCATAAATGATCATCAAACGCCGGCTAATTATGCAGACGTTCGTTGTATTCAGGCGGCGATGATCGCCGGCCAAATTAGCAAATTCATCAATTAACGATACGCACGCACTGGTTGGCCGTTGCGTTCTCGTCACGCGCCGAGACGATTATTTACGATCGCGGTTAAATTGCGTTTTTCAAGCTTCGCGACGCTGATTGATCGTGCCTACATGCAACGAATTCGGTCCGGATTCCGTGTTCCCGTTTCTTTGCGCTTTTTACCAGCGTGAAACGTTCAAATTTCTGCACTCGTAATTTCTATCGCTGGTGCAACGTGCTTTCGACTTTCGGAAACTCTGCGTTGAAATTTTTGCTTGAAATTATTTCTTGTTAAATGTATCTTACAGT